CGAGAAAGTGAGTGAACTAAGTATCGAAAACTTACCCTCTAAATAAGGTCACGCTTCCAAGATCAAAACGAAATCTTGATGAAACCTCGTGAAGGTTACCTCCTTCACATTTTGGCCGCTCGATTTCTCACCGATTCGCCTTTGCCGATGCTGCTATGGTGGGGCATCATCCGGTTCATCCAGTTTTTTCGCAAACTCTCGCATGTCATCTAAAGTCACCACTCCAGCTCGAAGGCCCTCGGTGAGCGTTTGCAGCAGTTCCACATAAAGATCAGGTTCGTCAAGCTTCTGCTCATAACCTTCGGGATCGAAATGCTCCAGATAGGTCAACGTCTGATGGATTTGCGGTAGCAGCGGCTCAAATTCGGAGACATGCTTCGTGATGTAATCTCCCAGGAAATCGGAAATCTCGTCGCTTTGGCGAGAAAGCTCTTGCTCCAGTTCTCCCACGTTGGCCAGGCTATAGAAAAAGTTCCAGCGGACATAACGCTGCAACTCGCGACCAAGCGATGGATAGCCAAGCTCTTGCAAATAGGTAGGGAATGTCTTCTTGCACGGGAGACGCAGCAAGCCACTTAAACCGGAGTTGTTCAGGAATCCTTTGGTTAAAAAAATGATGTGAACGAGCCGAAACGTTCGAGGGATGGACGAACGGTCTTCGGTTACCGCATCGTAGCCGTAACGGTCGTCGATCGCACAAACGACACAATCGGCGAGCTCCCGTTTCGAGAGCTTCGCAATGATCGTCGGAAAGTCGTGGAGCTTAGAGGCCATCGAACGCTCCTTATGCGTCGATAGATCACTCGCCTCGGTCGCCATGCCCACGCGGACGTGAGCATTGCACCCGGGGATTGGGGTGGCTTGTTACCATTTCCAGTTGGGTTGGACTTCAGGGTTGAGGATGTTTCCAGCGGGCCATTTGCCTTGGTAGAGGTCGATGACATTTTGGGCGGCGGTGACGGGGACGTCTTGGAAGGCTTTGTCATCGGCGCCGGCGATGTGTGGGGCGAGGACGACGTTGTCTAGTTGCAACAGCGGGTTATCGGTGGGGGTTGGTTCTTCCGCGAAGACATCGAGCCCGGCTCCTAACAGTTGGCCAGATTTCAGCGCCTCGATCAAAGCTGCTTCATCGACATGGCCGCCGCGACCGGTGTTGATGAGGATCGCGCCACGTTTCATTTTGGCGAGGGTCTCGCGATTGACGATCTTCTCGGTCTCAGGCTTCAGCGGCGCGTGAATACTCAGCACGTCCGACTCGGCCCAAAGTTGATCGAGCGAAACGAGCTCGACATTCGCGTGCGGCGTACCAGAGGGAACGTAGGCGATGACCCGCATGCCGAGTCCATTCGCCTTGTCAGCTACCGAGCGTCCAATCGAGCCGAGGCCTAGCAGGCCGATCGTTTTGCCGGCGAGCCTGGGAAATGCGGTATAGCCCCAGCGTCCTTCAAGAACCGCTTGATGGCGTCGGACGACATCGCGTGAAACGCCGAACAAGAGTGCGAGCGTTTGTTCAGCGACCGATTCCTGCAGCACGCCTACGGTACGAGTGACAACGATATTGTTTTGCGTGGCTGCCGGCACATCGATCGCGTCGAAGCCGACCCCAAACCGAGAAACAACGCGGAGGTTGCTTCGCTCGAGCACTTCCGCCGTGTAGGGTTCCATGCTGCAGATGGTCGCTTCGCAGCCGTCAAGCTGAGCCAGAAGCGTGTCGGCGTCGTTTAAGTTGTGCTGCTCTGGATCGATAAAACGTACAGTGAACCCGGCCTCGGTTAACAATCGGTAGAAATCGTGGTCAGTCAGGTGGTAGCTTGGGTTCGTCACGCAAACGGTTGGCATTCGTGCTCCTCAGGGGTTCGGCAAACAGTTCGTGGTGGGTGAACTTTCCCCGAGAGCCTGCATCTCGTAAAATCGACGCAAGTCTTTTCTACTTCAGACGCTTGGTAATGGAACAATCGGTGAGTACGTCTCCCAGAATATTTATCGTAGGAATTGGCGACGACGGTTTCGAGGGGCTGACCAGCCAATCGATGCGGATTCTCGGCGACGCCCAAGTCATCATCGGCAACCCTCAGGTGCTCGTGCACGTCGAAAAAGTTTCGGCGGAGAAAGTGCCTGTCAGTGGAGACTTAGGCGAGATCGTCGAAGCGATCGAAACGCACAACGACAAAGACGTGGTGCTGCTGACTAGTGGCGACCCGTTGTTTTACGGGGTGTCGAAGTATCTTTGCGATAAACTCGGAAAAGATCGCTTCCATGTCATCCCGCATGTCAGCAGCATGCAGTTGGCGTTTGCCCGCATTAAGGAAAGCTGGGACGACGCCCACTTGGCGAACCTGGCCAACCAGCCGCTGGAGTCGGTCGTAACTGCGGCCCGCATTTCCGAGGCGATCGGTCTGTTCACAACCGAAGCGATTCCGCCGAAGGAAGTTGCCAAGACGCTGCTGGGTCACGATCTTGATTACTTCCACGCGTATGTGTGCGAGAATCTTGGTTCCCCGAACGAATGTGTCACGCAAGGCGATTTAAAAGAAATTAGCCAGCAAGATTTCGGTCCGCTCAACGTGATGATTCTGGTCCGCAAGCCAGACGTGCCGGATCGACCGATGTCGTTGGTCGGTAAGCGAAAGTTCGGCAACCCGGACGACGTGTTTCGTCAATCGAAGCCGAAACGTGGCTTGCTCACGCCGATGGAAG